CTCCCCCACTTTGCCTATGGGGGTGTGTTAAACTGTATTATGCTTGTAGGCTGTAGTGGGGTAGCCAATATGGGGTACAACCCCAACTAGGGTTTCATATTTGTACCCAAACTTCTGCTAGTTCATTCATCCTTGCCTAGTTATTCTGAGACCATACACCCCCAAACCCGCAGCATGGAGGGGTCTCCCCTTGAGCCGGTCCACTTCATGTGAGGGGATAGGTTATCCCTGTTGGCGGTGGTGGAGAGGAGGTTGTGCAGGCGCACCGCGTGGTTCATGGCGTAAGGCCAAAACTTCTTGGGCAGGCCAGACTGGTTCATGATGGCGCGGACTTTGGTCATGAGGGTGCGATTGACCCTCTCAGCGACGCCTTGCTGCTGATGAGCGTAGGGGAGAGAAATTTCATGCTTGATCCCCTTCTCAGTGAGGACACTCTCCAGCTCGTGGCTGCGAAATTCTTTTGCCCCATCACTCTGCCAAATCTTCAGTTTCCTCCCTGACTGTCGTTGCGCGTGCGCGAGGAAGATGCGGAACACGTCCGGAGCTTTTGAGCGAGCATCGACGTTGGCGATCCACACATAGCGCGAGTAGGCGTCGATGAAGGTCAGCGTGTATTTTTCGCCGTTGAGTCCGTCGCAGGTGAGTACGATGAAGTCACTGTACACCTTCTCCAGTTTTTTGTAGCGGTTAGTGCTCGGCTCTAGAGAGGGGTAGGCGGTGTGGGAGAGTGCAGCTGTGGGGCAGACAGTGCAGGTGGTCGGGTTTGGCGTGGTACTCTGTAGTTCCGTTCCGTCAGGACGCAGCAATGCGCCAGGCGGAAAGACTTTTGCGCGGAGGCAGTTAGCGAGTGTCTGGCGTGAGGGGTGTCCCAGCCGCTGATGCCAGAGGTCATTTTTGGCACGTATGCCGGAGGTGCGCTTGTAATGGGCGTGCTGTTCCGCTTCTTCTGCTTCCGTAGGTTGCGGAATCTGCAGTGGTGGTTCTTCTTCCTCTCCTGGTTCTGCTTCGGGCCCCTCTTCTTGTGCCTCTGTCGTTGTCTCCCCTTCTGCAGGTGCCGTTGTGAGATAGAGGGCGAGAAATTCGCGGTCGGGGATGGTATTTAGCGGCGTCTTCGTGCCTTCGATGAGGCGCGCAAATGGATCTGGACGAGAGATTGGACCGAGAGAGTCTCGTGCTGGTGTTGGAGGTATGTTCCCCTCCTCAAGCTCTGTCCAGGTGCTTTCCCATCGGTGGGGTGAACGTGGAGGCGAGTGTGTTGGTGGCGGTCGCCCGAGGGGTATGGTGACGCGGGGGGATTCTTCTCCGCGTTCAGCTCGCATCTCTCGTTCTGCTTTCTCCAGTTCTTCCTGTGTTAGTTCTGCCTCTTCTGGTGCTGCCGTGCCCCATCCGCCTGTGGTAACCATGCCGCTGGGTGCAGAACCCCAGGCGCCAGTAGCGGACCCCCAAGTGGCGCCTTCCTCTGGTTCGTAATCTTCATCTCCCCATGCCCCTCGTCGTGCGGTTTCCTCGCTCCATCCTGCCGCAACGCGTTCCTCATACAGCTTCTGTTTCTTTTTCTGCCCTGGCCTTCTCCCGTTCTTCCTTGATGCTTAGTTCTCCTTCTGCGTCAGGGTCTTTCCAAGCCGGGTCAATTTCGCGGCGATAAACTTCGCGAGTGTACGGGCGCGGTCGATTTTCTTCATCGAAGGTGCTGGTGTTGGCTTCGAGCATGAAGCGGAGGGTGTCGGAGCGCGGCGTTGGGCGTGGCACCGGTTGTTGACCGAACTGCTTGTTTTCCTCTCCGAAGATGCGGTAGGTTGCTACAGCGAGTTCTTCTTCTGTCATGCCAGTTGGTTCCTCCTCAGCGCTTTCTGCCTCCTGGATTGCCGTGTACTCTCTTTCGACTTGCTCCGTGCGGCTCGCCGTGGGCGTGTGGCAGGTGGTGCAGAGGCCGTTGATGTCGGGCTCGTGCAGATTGATTTCGCGGGGATGTGGACTTCGCCGGATCCATGGCCGTCCGTCCGGATGCTGCCACGATTCTTCGTTCATGAAGGCGAAGTCGAGAGGGACAAGATCCACGAGTTCGTCGGATGAAGCTTGGCAGTTTGGTATGTCAAAGTCCAGAACGTAGATCCCGTTGATCGACCGAGCTCATCCGAGGTATTTGAATGACTCGGGCGGTGTGTTGGGAGGAGCGTAGGTGAGGATGAGGTCGCGCGTGGCCAGATCCATGTTGAGTATGACACCGCAGTCGCGAAGTTGTCCTGCCGAGAGGAGATTGAAGCGAAGGTCCGGAACGTAGAGCACGTCATTGAAAGAGATGTGTGTGTTGCTGTCTCGTGATTGCAGGACGACGATGCCTTGTGCGTTGGCGCGCAGCTGATGGTTGTTGGCGACGGTGACGTAGGTTGCGGGGGCGCGGCTGAGGTTCGAGACGTATCGAACTGATCCCACCATGTGCTGTCCGCAGCAGCTATCCAGGTACCAGGTGTTAAGGTTATCGGTGTTGTTGTTGCGTAGTAGCAATGCGAGTCGCGGAGTCACCAGTGTTGCCTTGTAGCGCCTGTGGAAAGATGGGTCTTCGTCCTCCTTCCATCCTACAGGTACGTAGTGTTGATTGTCGTGCGGCGGGCTTTCCCGCAAAGTGATTGGCAGGTTCCAATCTTGTTCGTCTTCGTCGTAATAGTGGTTTTCGGTGAAGGGGTTGTTCCATCCTTCTTCTGGCTCGAGTAGTTCTCCTCGAAGTTCGTCTTCTTCGTCTGGTTCGGCGGTGCAGCGGCGCCGTGTCACCATGTTTGCCGTCACGTTTCTGGGAGCTCCAACCTGACTTCCCTGTACTTGTTGTGGTTGCTGTTGAGCAGGAGGACGGGGAGCTGATTGTTGAGGCTGGGGGTGACGAGTGTCTTGTCGGCCGACCCAGTTGTTGTGGTGAGTGGAATTTGGGTGGCGATTGTTGAATCGAGACTTGCATCGATCCGTTGAGTGTCCGAAGACTTTGCAGTTTTTGCAATAATGGCGCCTTGGTTGTCGTCGCTCTTCTCGGTTGTCTGTGTAGAAGGCGAGTCGCTCTCGGCGTGGCGCGGAACTCGTTCTGCTCGAGTCCATGTCCTGCTGTTCAGTCAGCAGTGCGGCGCATAGCGCGGCTTCAGAGAGCTGTCCTCGTTGTCGGAGTAGCGCCTTGCAGGGCTTCCACTCGGGCCCAAGTCCCTGGAGGACGATGTTGACGAATATCTCCTCCGTGATGGAACTTCCGTTCTTGATAATTTGATCACGAATGTTCCGACAACGGTTGATGTAGCTGTTTGCTTTCTCCCCGTGCCCCATCTTGGTCTCCATGAGTTGTTGCAGGAGACGACTTGCAGTGACGGAATCCTTCGGCTGATATACCTCAACGAGGTGCTTCCAGGCTTCTAGGGCTGGAGCGGCGCTCTCTTTGTAGGAGCGGATGCCGAGCTGTTCTGCAGGCGACATGTTGCGCAGCAGGACGCTATACGCCATAAGTGACTCACTGTATTATTGAGCTTGGGCGTCTTCGGTGTTTTCCACCGGTTTAGGATAGGAGCCGTCGAAGTAGTGATAGATCTGCGCTGTTTGTAGGAGGAGCTCCAGCTCAAAACTCCATGTATAAAAATCCTTGCGGTCAAATGCGGAGGTAGTCTTAATTTTTGACACACTGAGGAAGCGTGCTTGCGCAGAGTTGATTGTCTCGTCGCTTGGACGGGGGGCAGTTGTTGCAGATTTGTCTGAGTCGAGGGAGAAGCCATGCGCGGCGGTATCGCGGCTTTTCGCAGCCGGTTGTCCAGGTTGCACTGGTTGGGAAGTGGTTCCCGCATCGCCTTTGCGCAGTTCTTGGAGTTCTTTCTCCATAGTTGACAGTCGAGCGAATAACTGCTCGAGTGCGGCTGTGCCGATCGTAGTTGTCGCCTCATTTGTCGCAGCCGGGTTGGTTTGTCCTTCGGCCGTTAGATTTGTTTGACCTCCGGATCCTCCGGCCATCTTGGTCTTGGAGCGTGTGCCGCTCGCCAGATTTGGGTTCGGCGAATTTTACGGAAGTGACGTTGCGAAGAATCCCTGAGTAGCTCTCATACCATGTTACGATCTGAAGTGGGACTTAGCAAAACAAGGATCGTTCAGGGTTGATCGCAGGTAGTGTTGCAGCGGAAGTAGTGAACTCAGGTCAGAGTGAATGTAAAATGACTGAGATGATAATAGCATGCATACATAGGGTTTATATAGAAATACAAAGGAATGCGAAACGACCTAGACTAGCCATGTACTCTAAGGGGTACATTCCCTTATTGCAGCGAAATTCAAACCGTGCGGCGCGGGAGTCAGTTTCAAACCTGTTCCCGCTCTTTTCATTTCAAATGTTTCTGCCTGCATTGGTGTCGATCAGGCGGTTGCTGTGTCGCTTCGATTCTTCTGACTCCTCGCCTTCGTACTCGGTAGAGTCGGCTCCTGCAGCGTACAGGAATGCCTTCTCATTGAACTTCGTATCGTAACACCTTCGCAGCGCCCTCCCTTCCCGTCGCCCGCACTTCCCGTCGTCCCCCCTTCTTTTCGGCGCCCTCCCTTCTTCTCATCGCCCTCCCTTCCGCTCGTCCCCTCGTTTTCCCTGTCTCCCTCTCTCCCCGTCGCCCTCGCCTTCCTCGTAAAAAAATCTCCCCATCGAACTCGCTTTCCCCGTCGCCCTGCATCTGCTACCATTTTCCCCATCCTCTTCCCTGTTTCCCCCCATCCTTTGACCTGCTTCCCCCCATCCTCTACCATGCTTCCCCTCATCCTCTGCCCTGCTTCCCCCCATCCTCTGCCCTGCTTCCCCCCATCCTCTACCATGCTTCCCCTCATCCTCTGCCCTGCTTCCCCCCATCCTCTGCCCTGCTTCCCCCCATCCTCTACCATGCTTCCCCTCATCCTCTGCCCTGCTTCCCCCCATCCTCTGCCCTGCTTCCCCCCATCCTCTGACCTGCTTCCCCCCACTCTCGGCCCTGCTTCCCTCAATTCCTTCCCTGCTTCCTTCTATGGTATCCCCCTCCATGTGTCCTTCCTCGCCCTGCCCATGTGTCCTCTCCCTATCACTCGCAGTTCCCCTGCTCATCACCCTCGTTTCTTGGGAAAATGCCCGCTGCAAGTGCGGGCGCTGTGCGTCAGCCGCCCTCTCCCATTCCGTTCTAACTGCCATCTCTCATTCCTTTCCAGCATCTCTCATTCCTTCCCAGCCTCTCCCCATCCCCTTCCCTGTCACCCTTATCCCTGTCCCCCTTATCCCTGTCCCCCTTATCCCTGTCCCTTTATCCCTGTCCCCCTTATCACTGTCCCCCTTATCCCTGTCTCCCTTATCCCCGTCCCCTTTATCCCCGTCCCCCTTATCCCCGTCCCCCTTATCCCCGTCCCTCTATCCCCGTCCCCCTTATCCCTGTCCCCCTTATCCCCGTCCCCCTTATCCTGTCCCCCTTATCCCTGTCCCCCTTATCCCTGTCCCCCTTATCCCCGTCCCCCTTATCCCTGTCCCCCTTATCCCCGTCCCCCTTATCCCCGTCCCCCTTATCCCTGTCCCCCTTATCCCTGTCCCCCTTATCCCCGTCCCCCTTATCCCTGTCCCCCTTATCCCTGTCCCCCTTATCCCCGTCCCCCTTATCCCCGTCCCCCTTATCCCCCGTCCCCCTTTCCCCGTCCCCCTTATCCCTGTCCCCCTTATCCCTGTCCCCCTTATCCCTGTCCCCCTTATCCCTGTCCCCCTTATCCCTGTCCCCCTTATCCCTGTCCCCCTTATCCCTGTCCCCCTTATCCCTGTCCCCCTTATCCCTGTCCCCCTTATCCCTGTCCCCCTTATCCCTGTCCCCCTTATCCCTGTCCCCCTTATCCCTGTCCCCCTTATCCCTGTCCCCCTTATCCCTGTCCCCCTTATCCCTGTCCCCCTTATCCCTGTCCCCCTTATCCCTGCCCCCATTATCCCTGTCCCCCTTATCCCTGTCCCCCTTATCCCTGTCCCCCTTATCCCTGTCCCCCTTATCCCTGTCCCCCTTATCCCTGTCCCCCTTATCCCTGTCCCCCTTATCCCTGTCCCCCTTATCCCTGTCCCCCTTATCCCTGTCCCCCTTATCCCTGTCTCCCTTATTCCATCCCCTTCCCTGCTTCCCCCCATCCCCTTCCCTGCTTTCCCCCCTCCCTTTTTCTGCTCCCCCCCCTCCCCTTCCCTGCTTTCCCGCATCCCCTTCCCTGCTTTCCCCCATCCCCTTCCTTGCTTCCCCCCCTCCACTTCCCTGCTTCCCCCAATCCCCTTCCCTGCTTCCCCCCCACCCCATTCCCTTCCCCCCCATCCCATTCCCTGCTTCCGCCCATCCCCTTCCCTGCTTCCCCTCACCCCCTTCCCTGCTGCTCCCCCCCCCATCCCGTTCCCTGCTCCCCCCCATCCCGTTCCCTGCTCCCCCACATCCCGTTCCCTGCTTCCCCCAATCCCGTTCCCTGCTTCCGCCCATCCCATTCCCTGCTTCCGCCCATCCCATTCCCTGCTCCCCCCCATCCCCTTCCCTGCTTCCCCCCATCCCCTTCCCTGCTTCCCCCCATCCCCTTCCTTGCTTCCCCCTATCCTCTTCCCTGCTTCCCTCAATCCCGTTCCCTGCTTCCCCCAATCCCGTTCCCTGCTTCCCCCCATCCCATTCCCTGCTTCCGCCCATCCCAATCCCTGTTTCCCCTCACCCCCTTCCCTGCTCCCCCCTATCCCGTTCCCTGCTTCCGCCCATCCCGTTCCCTGCTCCCCCCCATCCCCTTCCCTGCTTCCCCCCATCCCATTCCCTGCTCCGCCCATCCCATTCCCTGCTTCCGCCCATCCCAATCCCTGCGTCCCCTTATCCCCTTCCCTGCTCCCCCCCATCCGTTCCCTGCTCCCCCCCATCCCTTTCCCTTCTTCCCCCTATCCCCTTCCCTGCTTCCGCCCATCCCGTTCCCTGCTCCCCCCCATCCCCTTCCCTGCTTCCCCCCATCCCGTTCCCTGCTTCCGCCCATCCCATTCCCTGCCCCCCCCAATCCCCTTCCCTGCTTCCCCCAATCCCCTTCCCTGGTTCCCCCCATCCCCCCCCGTTCCTGCTTCCCCCAATCCCGTTCCCTGCTTCCCCCTATCCCGTTCCCTGCTTCCTCCCATCCTCTTCCCTGCCCCCCCCCCCATCCCCTTCCCTACTCCCCCCTTTCTCCCTGTCCCCTTCTCCCTGTTCCCTGTCTCCGTGTGAGCCGTTTCATTGAACCTGCTATCCCCCACCCTCTGCACTGCTTCCTCCCTACCCCTGCCCTCCCTTCTCCTCATCCTCTGCCCTGCCTTCCCTTCATTCTCTGCCCTGCCGCCCCCCACCCTCTGCCCCCACCCTCTGTTCTGCTTCCTTCATCCTCGCCCACCTTACCGCCTGGCCGAGTACCGCCTGCCCACATTACCACAAATCTTTTCCTTCTCATCCGCGCGCAGGTGTGGCGGAAGGTGTACGTGGTGCGGAGCGTGTTGGAGGAGCGGTTTGATGTGGTAATCACCGATGACGCCATTCTCTGGCAAGTCAACCCCCGCCAAGCTGAGGGGAGTGCCAACTCACACCCGGTCGTCGCCAAAGGCGATCTCTACACAGCGTGCAACAACACACGCATGCTCAAGTTCTTTGACGACTGGATTTCCCTGGCACAAGTGATGAGCGCCTCTCTCTCGCACTTTCGCCCCTCCCTGCCACAATGCTGCCGCCTCTTGTGCCTGCTGCCTGCTGCCCACGCCTTCCCTTCCACCTCTCCCACACCATGTGCATTTCAACACACCAACGCAATCCCAATCGCTCTTCCACTCACTCTACTCTCTCCCCATTCCCTCCCCCTTTGCTCCTCTTCTTCCGCGCGGCAGACCATCGAAGCGCCACATCCAGCAGATCTTCGACTGGATCTGCCCCGAGACGAACCCGCCACCGCCACACCGCTTATGGAGCGGTACCTGCCCACTCCGCACTTCGGCGGGTTCTGCGAGATGGCTTCTCTTCTGTTGGAACTGTGAGGCAGCCTCCTGTCGAGAGTGCCTTCAGCCTCCCCTGCTGCCCCATACTTGGAAGCTGCTCTGCCTGACAGCCAGGGGCAGTGCAGAGCGGTGCAGGGAAAGCCAGGCCATGTTGCTGTGTGGCGGGCCGAGACCCACATGCTGCAGTGCCGGATCATAAGGCGAGTTCATTTTGCATGCCTCAACTGGTGCTGCACATTGCAGTGCTTGCGAGTTGTGACCATGGCAGTCTGTCGCCTGCCAGCACGCCAAGGGCACTCTTAGAGCACTCTAGCGGTTGTTATAGATGCTTCCTAGGTACCTGAAGAAGCCGGGGTTATCTGACCGTAGGGAGCGACTTGTGGATCGTGCTATGTTATGCGCTGGAGGTTTATAGGTACAAGGGTCTACTAGTGGTATAAGGGGTGTATTGTGTATGCCCATATCTCAGTGTTGACCCACCCTCTTCTTCATGACGCAACAGATGAATACAAACCCTATTGCTGTCGCTGCTGACGTTTGTTATTATGCAATTGGCAGTCTTGTGAGTGCAGCACTTCTGAGGTAACAGACGAGGATTCTCACAAATACCGTAATATGAGATGAAGTGAGAGCAAAGAATGTACATAGGTGTGTTAGTAGCACAGCAGCATGTGGTGACCGTCTAAGGCCCACAGAGATTGCAGGCCGTGAATGAATGGAGTGGGGAGAACACCGCTCATGCTGCAACTGCCATGTATGAGCATGACGCCGCACAGAACCAGCACGCTCACTGCCACGTCAGCATGCATGCCGGCGACTGCTGACATGGCAGCAGTGGCACCGGAAGGGGCAGCAGCGACGGCGGCGAGGGTGAGCGGCAGCCAGTCGTGGTAGCACTGGTGCAGCAGCCGGTCCGCCTCGTCCACCACCTGATGGGGGCAAGAGGGGATGCAGGCGGTGCAGGGGGTGCACGGAGGGAGGCATGGGGAGGCATGGGGAGGCATGGGGAGGCACGGGGAGGCACGGGGAGGCATGGGGAGGCATGGGGAGGCACGGGGAGGCATGGGGAGGCATGGGGAGGCATGAGGAGGCATGGGGAGGCATGGGGAGGCACGGGGAGGCACGGGGAGGCATGGGGAGGTACGGGGAGGCATGGGGAGGCATGGGGAGGCACGGGGAGGCATGGGGAGGCATGGGGAGGCATGGGGAGGCATGGAGAGGCATGGGGAGGCATGGGGAGGCACGGGGTGGCACGGGGAGGCATGGGGAGGCAGGGGGAGGCATGGGGAGGCACGGGGACGCACGGGGAGGCACGGGGAGGCATGGGGAGGCATGGGGAGGCATGGGGAGGCATGGGGAGGCATGGGGAGGAACGGGGAGGCACGGGGAGGCACGGGGAGGCACGGGGAGGCACGGGGAGGCATGGGGAGGCATGGGTAGGCACGGGGAGGCACGGGGAGGCACGGGGAGGCACGGGGAGGCACGGGGAGGCACGGGGAGGCACGGGGAGGCATGGGGAGGCATGGGGAGGCATGGGGAGGCATGGGGAGGCACGGGGAGGCATGGGGAGGCATGGGGAGGCATGGGGAGGCACGGGGAGGCACGGGGAGGCACGGGGAGGCATGGGGAGGCACGGGGAGGCACGGGGAGGCACAGGGAGGCACGGGGAGGCACGGGGAGGCATGGGGAGGCATGGGGAGGCATGGGGAGGCATGGGGAGGCATGGGGAGGCATGGGGAGGCATGGGGAGGCATGGGGAGGCATGGGGAGGCATGGGGAGGCATGGGGAGGCATGGACAGGCACGGGGAGGCACGGGGAGGCACGGGGAGGCACGGGGAGGCACGGGGAGGCATGGGGAGGCATGGGGAGGCACGGGGAGGCACGGGGAGGCATGGGGAGGCATGGGGAGGCACGGGGAGGCACGGCGAGGCGAGCGGAGGCGCGGCGAGGCGAGCGGAGGCGGGGCGAGGCGAGCGGAGGCGCGGCGAGGCGAGCGGAGCCGCGACGAGGGGAGGCTCCCAGAAACGAGGGGCCGCCTCCGAGAGGCGTGACGATGGGACAGGGGGCGCGGCGAGGGGAGACGCAACGACGGGAGGCGAGGCACAACAACTTAGTGTATGCGCGGGTGAAGTTCCTAAATTCTGCGTATTTTATGCTACGATGAGCTGTCGGGATGTTATCTGACTACTACTTACATAAGACGTGAGAGGTTGGCTTACTCTTTTGGCTGGTTAGTTGGGTTGGTTTGTCGCACACTCATACCGATGTTGAGTGACGACTTCCCAATCTCCTCGCAGCCTGATCTCGCTTTCGCCCCGCCCATATTCCCGAAATGAACTTTTTTGCTTTTCGCCAACACGTTTAAAGCCCTTCAGAAATTTTGCCAAAAACCATGCTGACCTCGGGCTTTAAACCTGCCTTCACTATTTTAGCTGCTGGCTTTAAGAGTGCGCTACTCTAGGAATGTTATTTCACAATTCCAAATCGTAACACTCTCCTTCATTCCTGGAGAAGCGAAGACTTGACATGCTTGGTTATACCGCAGGTGTTTCCGCAGTGGTGGTACTGCTGTCGTGGCAACTTTCTTCGTGAGAAAGTCAGCTGCCATGTCACCGGTGGGACAATAAGTCAAGATGAATTTGCCTTTGTCAACTTCGTCCTTGAAGAAGAACTAGCGATTTTGATCGCGCTCTGGTTGTCGCAGTGAAGTTTGAGCCTCGCGGATGTCGCAATTTTGTCTCATGGAGCAGTTCCAGGAGATAGAGCCCACCATTTCTTACTTCTGGGAATTCCAAGAAATTGGACAGGTGGGCTTGAGGCGGAAGAGGAAATCGGTTTGGGACTCGTCGATTTGCGGGGTCGGCCGCATGATCTGCGTCCATGTAGCCTACAAGGTTGAACGAGCGGGTTGCGATGGTGGAATTGAGCCCAATGTGCGGTGTGGGGATGAAGTACTGCAAGGCGCGCTACAGGTCCAACATATGCTCCCCTTCAGGCCGCTTGGCATACTGAGCGAGTGGACTCGAGACGTAGGATAAGTCAGGCCTGTACGTGAGTGCAGCGAAGAGGATGCGAAGAGTCAATCTACAATGGTCGTGAGCTAGACTACGGGGGGTTGGCACGAACTACTAGGAGTGATCGTAGCTTTGCTTGGTTCCTTAGCACTTGCGCATTCACGGGAGAAATCGGCAAGAGTTTCACTAGGCAAAGATTGCATTCCAGAATGATAGCAATGACAATGACAGAAAATGACTACATCAGGCACCTAGCAACTCTGCAGCTAGCCTGGTCGACCGCCAGCACTGCATGGTCGACCGCCTGCCAGCGTTGCGTAGAGGAGCCGTGCCAGCACTGCAGAAAGGCGACATGCCAATGCAGCGGGTCGACGGCGTGCCAACATTGCAGCAAAGCGGTTGTCTAGCGTTGTCCCACAGAAGACAGCAGTGTGCACGCTTGCAGGTGCGCGCAGACGATTGGCCCGACTTGCATCGTTGTGCATCCGTCGGCTGTTGTCTGCACCGGATGAGCCACATCGACATCGGGATACCAGCCCGAAGCCGCCTTCGTCGCTGCAACCTCGACGACGTTCGCGTGCCTCCGCAGAACTCGCCGAGCAGGTTACCTGATCGACCTCGACACCACCAGGTGCCTGTGGTCGTCCACCAGGTGCCTCTGGTCGACCACCAAGTGCCTCTGGTCGACCACAGCTTCCGTCGAGCAACGGCCTGGTCGACGGACCCCTCCGTCGACCGGCACTGTCACCTGGTGTCGCCGAGCTCCCCTCGTCGACCGCCGCTCACATGTTAGGTCGACGGACTGCTCCGTCGACCTCCCGGTCAAACTGCTTTTCCTGGTCGAAGGCCCACCCGTCGACCAGCCCAATCGGCTGCAGCTGTCGAGCTTCTTGGTTGGCGGCTCCAGCCTCATGACAGCCCTGTGTAGGTCGGCGACCACCCCGTCGACCTGCCCCGCGAAAGAAGGTCGTCGAACTCCTTGGTCGACGGCAACACCACAGTGATCCCTGCAACTTGACGAAGGCCGTCGAGCAGCTCCCTCACTGCGAACAATCGACTGCTTCTTACGTGCATCCGACCAGGACGTCGGCGTCGCCCAAGCGAGGGCGGGGCCAACACTCCATTCCCGTTAACACTCCCCTGCCGCGCTCATGCTTAGGCTCCCTACCCACACGACAGTACTCCAGGGAGAAAAACCCGTCCTCGGCGTGCACCCCATGCACAGCACGCCGTCACCGCACCAGCCGAGGTCACCATCGCCGACGTCGGCCAGGCGCACTTGGCCGATCGCGACGGAGCACCATTTGAAAGCCGGAAAATGCAGCGCCTTTATCAGGAAATAGGCCGGCTGCTCGGTGGTCTTGATGTACTTCAGCACGAACTTCCCGCGCCTCACCATGTGCTGCAGCCAAGCGTAGCGTCGCTCCATGTGCTTGAGGTTGCCTATCAGCCCTAAGCCCTCAAAGACCGTGATCGCCAACTTGTTGTCCACGTGGAGGACGGTTGGCTTCCCAGCGTCGAGCAACTTGAATTCTGCAAGGAGGAAGCGGAGTCGGCGCCCCTCCTTGCCGGGGAGAGCGACGTACTCCGACTCGGTCGAGGAGAGCGTCGCGCACTTGATACGCTGGCTCGACTTGGAGACCGCGGCCCCTCCGAAGACAAACACGTTAGCCCCCCGTGCTCGTCCAGTTCTGCTTGTTGCCGGTGTCGTCGGCGTCCACGTAGCCGACCAGCTCCAGCGACTCTGGTCCATTGCCGAACTCCAGGGCGGTGTCGTGGGTGTCGGCAAGGTAGGCGAGGCAACGGTCGACCTCGCGCCAATGCTGGTCGCTCCTCACCGTGAGGCCGCTCCCCAGCTTGCTGCAAGCGAAGGCGATGTCCGGCCTCGTTGTCGTCGCCGCGAACTGCAGCGAGCCAACCTTCTGCCGGTACTCCTCCTCCTGGCGCTCCTGTGCCTCCTCGTCGTCGAATGTCATCTCGCTGTAGGCGTCAACGGAGACCGGCGTCTTTGGGACTCGATCGCC